TATATATATATAATACGCATCGGTCGTTTTTCTCGTAAACATTAAGTACTCAATACTTATTCACTATGTGATCGGCCCTGCGATCGTCCTTCACACATTTTCCACAGCGCATACCCATTAAACGTTCGTGGAATTTTACCCATCTTTCCACCTAATAATATAATGAGCTACCTACCATTGTGGTAGCAGAGTTTTAGTTTCGTAGCAGTTACGTATCTAGATAAGTAGAAAAAAAGCTTCAGTGAAGAAGGTCATATAGAAAAACAGTATGTACAAAGTCCTGTACATTGCGCGTTCGCCCGATAGGCGCCTATATTGTCATTTCTTTCATCCTGTTGTTTTTGCTGAGGGTTACCTTTGTAACAAGAATTTTACCTGACCTTACAGCTAATTTTCACTCACCTTTTTCCTCTGTTTCCATGAGTTTTCCATGCGCGCTCAGTCTCTCACTTTTATAATAATCATCATAACAAAGCCAAACATTTTCAGAATTTCATTGCATTCACACACACACATACACACATACACACACAATTAACTATGGCAGCGGTATACACGGCGGGCTAGTTGTTTTCAATGTTAAAAACGCGTCCTTTATATTGCAGTAATTCTACAATTGCCACACCCGACTTTTTGTGTTTTTAATGTTTTTCCTCTTCTTTTTTGTGTTTTTTTCTTTTGCCGTTGTCTCGATATATCAGCAGCGGATGGCAGTGATTGGAATGGACTAAAAAAGTTTTTGTTTTTTACCTTTTTGCTCGCTTACCTATCACTCACATTGGCACACTTTACGGTAGTACACCAAACATTATTATCGAGTCTGTGTATAGAAAACACCGCTGTAGTGGAGGGATCATGGGAAAGAAGTACAAAGATGATTCCATGACGTGGCACCCCCATGATGGTTTAGTGGTCTTTACCTACTAATTTTAAGTACCCGTGGGGTGGTGTTGTGGGTTTGAAACTGGCCCGAAGCCATGTGCTTTAACAACAGTATTAGACGTGAGCTCGAAGCACTTTGAGGTAGACGCCATAAATGACCTCGCCTCCATATCGCTCCATAAGTTACATTTCCTACATAATCTAACTCATTGACAATTCGACAAAACCACATGCAGGCGACACTCATGCACAGGGACCATATAAGAACAGACAATTGAAAATATATGTAAATCTCATTGATGAAATTCTGACACTCAGAAGCGTGCTTGATATTAATCTTCAGGGATGGTCACGATAAATTATGACGTTTGACTATTTAGGTTCTCAAGTTTTGCATTCTCCTATATTCGTTGTCAGACACAATTTCATGGAACTTGTTAACTAGTTCTCCTATTTCTCAGTTTGACTACTTAACTTTTCAATCTCCTCTATTCGCTGTTAAACTTAATTTAATAAAACTTATTAACTAGTTTTGCTACCTCGAGACAGACCCTGCTCGAGTCCTAGGTTATTTTTCTCTTATAGCGTTTCTAATGCACCGATCGAAAGGGTGGACCCATACAGTATTATCATTTCACATCACTCTGCACCAAACGTTCATAGGTTAATAGGCATTTTCAAGTTTTTGCATAATTTCGAATCTAAGGCAAAATAACGTTACTGCACCACCTGTGGTCACTCGGTAGCAAAACCCAATCGATAACGTGAACGACGCCATTCGATGCCGGGATGTCGGCGCGATATAACGGTGAATTATTCACTTCATAGAGTCGTCCTGAAAACATTAAAGGGGCAATAAATCAGCACATGTTTACCTCTAACAGTGCTATCTAATGCAGGATCACACAACAGGTTATCTTAAATATATCTGATCAAACACGACCTTGTGTGTCTGCCTAGATATGCCGCAGACTTATATGGAAATTGGTAGATCGTACTGGGCGATGCGAAATGAGCGAAAGCGTACGCTTTCAAATACGCTTATATCATCGCATTGCTTATCTCCTATCATCGCAATAGTTATGTGCGGACCTACGCAATAGGTCCCAATGTGTGCATATGGCATTCTACACAGAAAAGATTCTGCTGGTATCAGCTGCTGTCAGCCTGCGATAAAACAGTGAGTCTCCCCTTAGAATGTCCGCCATCAACTGTTGTACATCGTATAAACGGAGGTCGCTTTGAAAAACGGACGCGGCGATGTCTATGCTTTACTTGTTCCCGACCAAAAAATTGTACCACAGCGACACGAACAAGTGGGAATACAATAAATATCTACCAGAAAACTATTTTTTTTTCATTTTTTAGCTCGAAATATAACGACGTCGTAGCACTCAGCCGCATTTAGGCCTAAAGACAAACCTATCTCTAAGCTCGCTTTGAAAATTTATGTATGCTTTCCTATTTTGCATTCTCTTCTCTCAAAACTTGTTTTTTTTCTATACTTAGCTGTCCTGGAAACTATTCAAACGGTTTTTGACTATTTATCATTGAACGATATTGGTACGCAACGACTATGCTATTGGTGTCCGTACAACTGGATTGTATGACAGAAGCTTGAGAATTCATCTAGGACGTGCTCGTTCGAGTAAGGTTAGTCATTTGACAGCTCTTGAGCGAGCTTCATCCATATATCTGCATCTATATTAGTTATTTTAAGGTGTCGTTGTTCTGACAGATTTATCAGTCATTGTTCACCGGTGAAGACAGAGAACAAATTATGTCTAAATACTCTGATAATGTTTTGCTCGATTCTTTCGCTTAGCACGCCTCGTGTTCCGCTGCGTTTATGCCTTACTATGAACGACTTTAGCAGATAATAAAAAAAAAAAAGATTAATTAATCGAAAAACACTTACGCCTGCACCCATCGGTGTTAACGCTAACGCGCAGTGGAGTCTTGTTATGCAGCGAAGTCAGATATTGGCCATCACGAAGATTGTGAGAAAAATGGATGCCCTCAGCAGCGTGATAGCGGAGGAACTCCCGGAGAGCGGTTGTGTTTGTTCGAATAACATCGAGTTCGTCCTTCGGCACCTTGGACAGTGCGTCGTTACTCGGTAAGAATAACGTATAACCACCAGGACTGCCCTGCAGTTCCTGATTAAATCCTGTTCCAGCAGCCAGAGTGACGAATCCGTCGTATTTGCCGCAGTCCTGCACCAATGGAATGATGTCCTTGTCAGCTATCGGATGCAAAAATCCGCCAACGATGTGCAGCAGGCCTCCATTCGGTACTGTTATGTCGGCATAGATAACGCGTTGGCCATTGACTGTAACTGTCTAAAAAAACATAAAAATTAAAGATAACTTCAAGCACAATAAATGTTTATTTAGACGTTTTAGAAAATAAACTCAACAAGTGCCCTTATAATAGCTTTTCTGAAAGGCATACATCAGCACTTATTACAGCATCCGTAAAAGGCTTATCTCTTGAGACCAGTTGACGAACGCCTGTTAATAAATGGGCGACAGATGTAATACTACAGGGTTATTTTTACAATATACTCGATTATATTATTAGGCTTTCTTAATTATAGCAAAAAGCGTATAGCGAGGGCCAACTTAAAACAAGCAAAAGATAAAAATAATACATATAGAAAACTGGAAGCTATAATAACAAGACAGCGTAAACGTGCTATAAAGTCTGATATAATACGAATCGAATCCGTTTCATATCAAGTATACCCGTGAGCCATAATTAACGGGTCTCGATCAAAACTCTATCAACTTGCTTGATTTCATTTTATGAAATAACAATTATTATTTAACTAATAATAAATGCTCCGCTGAGGATCATACTTTCATCAAAATGACTACTGCTAATCGCCCGCCTTATAAATCGCATTATATTTGTCCTATAGGCACGATTCTCGCAGCTTTCTGATATAGGTTGTGAATAAATGAAAGACCAAAATGCTCCTTCCTAGCCGGTCGGAAGCAACGTGTTCCGCGCGTTCGAATCATAGAGTGTCCTATCTAGCGAGTATTGTTTAGCAATCGTATTATAATACTTGTTTTTTTTCTAGTGGAATTTCTACGACGGGTTTCTTTACGCGCCAACGTAAACACGCGTATTGCTGAATCAGCTAAGCCGGTATCGGTGTAAAGAGCAATCGCAATCGTGCTAAATTGATCTTAATGGCGCAGTAACAAGCACCTTTTATTGGGTCGATGGTTACGAAGTAACTAATTATCATACAGGACTAGGCGCAATGGGCGGTTCTGAATGTCAGACGGCCGGTTCCCACGTACGAACTGCTGCCAGCCCGCCACGGCCAGCATCACAACTGGATCATAATTTCGGTCGCAGCACATCTATAATATGCTATACAGCATTACGTGTTCAATAACAGATTGAAAATCTCCATTTCCCACTGGTAGAGCACTAGCTGACGCCATTCTTATTATAGTTGCATCAATTACCAAGAGAGGTCGCTTTAAACGTTTTGCTAAATACACCGCCAGCAGAAGCAAGCACTTGCGGAGCATCGAAATAACAATAACGACAACAGCGCCGTTGGCGACATATTTCAAATTTACATCGGCTGAGATCCCTTTGGTCACTAAAGACATCGTCGAATATGCCGCCCATGCTACAATAGCATAATATTACCGTTCATATCGTACACTGTGTAAAAGTACGCTGAATACCCAGCATATCTATAGTGTGTGTACGGCTGACAGGAAAGGCGACAACCTTATAGAACCTGTAAAAAGGCAGGGTAGCCATTAACCGGCGTCTGAAGGCGAAAATGTCTTTGGCCAGGGTCGCCGGCGTAGACGTCCGTTAGACGTTGGTGTTGTCGCGCCAGCAGCAGGGGCATCAGCCAAAGCTCATCTGAACTCTGACGTAACGAGGGCACAAAACCGGCGACATTGTAATGCTGTCTTTTCGCCTTGCCGTAGATACTGCTCGATTATTAACTGAACAGTCTAAAACATTGCGAAGCAGTGGTGGCCGCAGGGACTGACCCTACGCAACGGTTGGAACTTGGCAGTTCTATTTAGACGGCTTAATATCGTCTCAACAATTGGACTTTAAAAATCCCCCTGCATAGTTTAGTTAACCCCACTGCATTGGGACACGTGCGATAACCAGTGGGCAACGGGTCGTACGTGCTATCAAGATGGCAGATGTCGTTCGTCTGATAATTCATGCGATTGAGCATTTATTCAAGTTCAGGCATCACAGAGAGGCCGAACAACATTGTGGCGAGAGTGAAAGCGGTTCGTTACCTCACTTGCACATCGACGTGTACCATGGCATCTGTCACATCAGTTTACCGTCCTGGCCTGTTAAATATAAATAAAGATAAACACGCAGAGACATGGACTCGCTGACGCAGCTCTGCTGCCGTCCGTGTCGCTGGATTGATTAGGGAAATCAAAGAGAGCAAAGATGAGGTTAGCAGTCAATGTTACTGGGCCTTCACAGTCGAAATATATTTCTAGTGCAATCCTGAACACGGCATGGACCGGCAGATAGGCCGAATAAACAGAAATACGCGCCGCCAAAGCAGCTGCAGGGCAAAATAAGACAATTTTTTCAGTCGTATTGTCATGCACCTTGTATCGCGTCGAATAACGGTGGATAGTAAAATAATAAAGAGATTAACAATGAGAATATCAGCTCCAACAGCTCGTCTCAGGCGTTTGTTATCGAGGCGAGCACGTAAACGCTTTTACTGATATTACGAACTAACGGATTTCTTCAATGCTACCAGGCCTTCAATTATATGCCCTTCTGGACACGTGCATCAATGAATGCATATGGACTTATTTATTAAATAATTTCGCGGAGAGACACGTTTTTCTTTTCTCTTTAATACGTGTATGTGTTTATTGTAGACTTTGTCTGTCTGTATAAGGATCCCATAAGCATTCCTCCATAAGTCTATCTAATTGTGTTCTTCTCTTGTTTAATACGAATTAATCTATCATAATGAAAGCGTTCGCGGACCCATGAGCATGCTGATATGGGTACCTCAACGACCTCTAAATGGCGAAGACTGAAAGGAGCATACTCTTCAGTGTTGAGTAGAAATGAAAGGGCGCGTCGTTCTCACGTCCTTGTCTATTATAATCGCCGCGGAGAAATCTTGATAATTATAATAATTATAATATATTCATAACGGGAGCATTTTTCGCAGAACGGGTCACACATGAAGTGTCAAAGCTTAGTATGCTTGCGCCAGCGGCGGTCATTGCCGCCTTGCCGTTACTGAGAAAGTGTTATGATCAAACTTAGCAATAATAATAATATCATATAAATTAATTTTTTTTGCGTAAAACTCAATAAAATTAATCCAGAGTAAATATGTAGATAGAAGGAAATGAAGAAGATTGTGGCTGTTAACTTTAAGCTACCACGCGTGTGATTATGTTGTATGTGGTTTGTAATGTTTATCTTACACTGTTGGAAGTAACTTTCAGATAGGGAACACTTTTTTTCGTCATCAAAGTGAGGCATGGAGACATTTCGACGATCACTCACTCCAACACCAAACAAGAGTTAGTTTTTACCATGGATTAAATGCTGTGTCCCGTTTCCTGTTTGGGTGCCACTTCCAAGACGATATCTATAGTACAATCCACACACGAGCTCCAAGTGGTCACTTCCTTAGATCCCTATTCTAACCACCGCTAGCCAAAAAACACGGATTACGCATAAACCCATTAAGGTGATCAGAAATCATCAGGAAAGAGTTTAAGGAAGCAACGATATTAATGACAATTGTCAACCAAGCTGCTTCTGCTTCTTGTAGAAGCCACTACATGAATAGTCGAAGTAACAGAAGTACTATGTGCTCTGCGAGTAAGCTGACTTGGGACAGGGCAACGCAACTTCTTAACTGAACGATGAATGGCTATGATGTCAGATATCGCCGGCCGCTTCGGAATAGTCGACATTGTTGGTTTATGACAGCGTTTCGAATAGTTTAGTGGTTCCTGAGGGAATCCGATTCTTTTAGGATTGGAAAACCTAACGCAGTGCTGTTTTTTGGTCAGGATTTTTTGATCTGCTAGATGCCATAATTTTGGATGGAGAACGCGTTGCTAAAGCGGGTTCTGCGAAACAGCGGTCGCGGTCATCGTTGCTGTCAAAGGCTATTGAAACCGATTGTGACAGGAAGGCGTATGTGTCTGGCTGCAGCGCAATGTGTGTTTCCTGTTGGAAAGATGTGGAGCCAGAGTCCTGTAAAATAAATACATATTTTCCAACGTGACGTAATAACTGAGTCGGATGGCCTAAAGGTAATAACTCTAAAATTTTACGATCCTAGATGTCTGAAGTCCACCATGTCCGTAAGATTCATATTCATATCGGAAAGAAGGCGATTGTTCTGTTTATTGCCACCAGATAAAACTCTGTAGGTGCAACATGGAGGGAAAGGATTTTGTACTTTAGTGTCTCACCTAGGTAGGAAAACACTTACAAAGCCTTCATTTCAAAGGCCCATTTATGCTGCTCCACTATATAGTATTCGAAGCTACTTATAGCTGAGGATTAGAAATATGATTGCATTTCCTTCGTCTACATAGTAACTCGATAATAGTAGTACGTTGGTGGCTCGAAAAGTCGACACTCTTCAGAGTGGCCGTGCGACGAACTGTCACTTATACGAAGCTTCACTTTTTCGCCAGTCAGCCAAACCGTCAGTTGACGTGGGAAGAACACAAGATGAATTAGGGAGCCGGCGCATCGGATGAAACACGTTTCCCGACGCGTTCCAGCAAATGGATAGCCGCACGGGCTGTATTAAGGACGCTAAAGACAGCTGCGGGAGCAGCTGTCGCCGTAACACTGTGTTAAACAAATACAGCGCAAGGTACTATTTATCGTAATGTAGAAGCAAATATAATGTATAACTTGAGAGTCGACACAAGAGCGGCTGGTTAGAAGGTTACAGCCGCGACGAACGTTCCTCTCATTTATAACGTTTTACTGTATGGAGTGTTCAAAAAGCCAGTGTTGAATTTCCGTGAACAGGGCGGCGTAAAGTGCTTAGCAGATTGTCACTTCTGCCAGCCTACCAACATGAGCTGAGGGACATGTAGAGACAACATTTGCTATGCCTGTCAGCGCTCGTTGTAAAAGTATAGAAGTCTGCTAGATTTCTTTACTTAACAAAGTACTAGCCACGTGTGGTCGTATTGTATGCATGTAAACTAGCCTGAAAAACTCGCTGAGCGGTAGGCTTCTCCCTGACGAGGGTGTCCAATTAATTGAGCGAGTAAACAAGTTACTAATTGGCTATGTGATCACGTACGGGTATGTT